GCCACAGACACTATAAGGCGCTGAGGGAAACCTGCAGAGACCTCCCAAACTCACGAAGCGAACTTTGGAGCGTTTGGACAATGCAGGTGCCGTGGACATCATGGTTGAGGCCGCTCAGAAGGCTTCGGCCAAGCAGCGAGCTCAGCAGCGCCGAAGCAGCTAGAGCAGCCGATTCCTGGAAACGTGTTTGTTTGGCGTGCCTGGGTGCTGGACTCGTAGTGACACAGTTGTGCGGGAGCCCAGAGTTAAGAGCCCATCTTCGTCCAACGTCTCATTTGTTAAAATTCTGGGATGAGTCTTTTTGGAATTGCGTTGTGGTCGTGATTGGCATGCATGGAGATCGGTGTGTCTTACATTGGATGTCTTGACTGTCTGCAGGATGAGGTAGTCCAGGAAGACTTTCTTTCTAGGGTTCCCCTTTTTTTTGTGACCCACACATTTTTTCTGATTCCGGGACCAGAACTGTTTAATTTGGCCCCTGACTCACCATGTCTTTTTGGCCCACAACCATTATTTTCTGACCCGCAGCCTTCCTTTTTTCATTTTGACCCGCAACCCTTCTTTCTCCTAGCATTCATTTTCCAACCCTTTATTTCTTACCCACATCCTTTCTTTTTTGACAATCAACTCATTTTTTCTGACCAACGTCCCTTTTTTTTGACCCCCGCAACCCTTTCTTTTTGACCTACAGCCCTTCTTTCTTGACCCCCCACACCCCCGACCACGCCCTATGAGGGGCAGACGCGTGGAGAGGACCTGGAGCAAGTGCCTCAGGAGTGCCAATGGTGGAAGCTGATTTCTCATCCTGGCTGTCCTTTCCTCCTTTTGCAGCCTTCTCTTTTCATCCGCGTCATCCTTTCACGCAGTTCCTGCCGCCCTTTTTTTTGATCATCTAAACTGTTTAATTTGATTCCCGATTTTTTCTTTTTGATCGGCAGCCATTTATTTCTGACCCACAGCCCTTCTATTTTTCATCGACCACTCTTCTTTTTGGACCCGCAACCCTTCTTACTTTTTGACCCCCCAGTATCCTTTTCTTCCAACCCTTTATTTCTGATTCACAACACCTCTCTTTTGACCATCAAACTTTTTTTGGTCAATTGAATGCAGTTAAACAGCTACATGAAATTGCACGTGTCGCCGCCGAAAAGTGCTGTCAGAACGGTGCCAATGTATTGCTTGCTTCACAGAGCGTATACGCCGCACTCTACCCAAAAAATGAAATCTAATGACGCAATCATGCGTCATTCACTCAGCAAAGCCCCCCACCTGTCGGAAGCTGTGCAGTTGTCGCAATCATCGGATGAAGTTGCGTTGATCTTCCAACTGCGCTCTTGAACCAAGATTGAACTGGCTTATAAATGAGGAAGCCAAGTAGAATAGTATCGTTGTCGTTGGGATTCGAAGCAGAGCGTGAGATGCCAGATATAGATGCTATAGGATGTCATTTCCACAATGGACGGGTGATTGAAGGATAAGTTTTCCATAGTTGTTGATCGGGTGATCTATGATCTGGCCTGGGTGGGAAATGGAGAATTCTCCACCGCCGACGGAATGGAGAACTGGGAGAAATTCTTCACCGACTGGCGGTGGGTGGAGAATTCTCCATCAACTGGGCGGAAACAAGAAGGGTCGGTCAAAAAAAAGGTGGTGTATCAAAAAGAAAGGAGAAGGGTCGGAGGTCAAAAAGGAAGGGGCGTGGGTAAAAATGAAAGGGTTGGGGGTCAGAAAAGAAGGGTTGTGGGTCAGAAAAAAAGGGTTGTGGGTCAGTCCAAAGGGAATCCATTCTTTTTTGCTTGCTTCGTTGCGTGGCCGCCAACAGGAACCACACAGCCGAAGGGCCCGCTGTCCATCTGAGGAGATCTGGAACTAAGACCATTCATGTCGACGTATGATTGCCGGGTACTGGAGGAAGTCTGTTTCTGAATTTCGACAAGCAGTCTATGGGCAGTCTCCTGCAAAGGATTTGTCAGGTGCATGGGCAGGTTTCCATATATGAGTTTCGAATTGCCAGCGTCAAGCCAGTTATTGGAAGTCAGAAGAGTTGAAGAGAGTCCTGCCCACTCACCGAGCCGAGTATTGTCCATGGATGTTCAACGAAGATGTTCACCAAGAGTCACCAACCCGTCGGACACGGTTCAGGTGGATGGTGAATATAGGTCAAAGGTTGCAATCAGGATATCAGATAGATTTAGATGCCAATGTGCCACGGAACATGCGTCCTTTAACAGTGTTAATTGGACCGAGACGGAGAGGTACACCAGAACCTTTGCTCGGTTCTTCGTTCAAGTTGTCGATCGGGATTGACGAAGGAGCGTCAGAGGGCCGCTGTATGGATGCAGACAGATTGCATCGGCGCTGCCATGAAGCGTTGGATCAAGTCGAAATGACGAATGGTGTGGAATTTTCTTTTCTGACACGTTTGTGCATGGTTCAGGTCTGCTGTGCTTGCGGTGCTAGCTGACTCCTATCCGCAGCCATTGGAGCGTGTGTTACCGTCGCCGATCATGGAGTCTGCTGCCGTCTGCCGTGCTGAGCTTTCTGGACGGGCTTGAATTCGAGACGGCTTTGATCATTGTGTTTAGTTTTGGATAGTTTTGGGATCTTTATACTGGGTTCTTGCTGAATCAGACCCTTTGTCAATCGGGGCAGGTGAAGTACCATATCCAGGGAGTGCCGGGAGTGCTGCTGGCCCACGGTGAGATGTCCAAGACACCAAGGAACAAGCCCTTCACCCCAAGGGCCATTAGACTTTCATTGAGCCAGTTGTCTCAACAAGCACTGCCACTTTAAGAGCTAACAGTCTACAAATATTTATATATGGATACATATGTACGTATACTGTATATATATATACACACTTATTTGCCCGTTTATCTATAGTGTTCTGATTTAAATTAATGTTTCATGTGTTCGAAAAAACAACTTGATGAGAAACAGCTGTGGGCACACTAGGTCTTCATTGGGTCGAAGCATGCCCTTTGCACTTTCCGGCCAACGGCCACCGCCGGCCGCTCCCTGTGGCCATTGGCTGCGTGGTGACCTTATCGGTCGAGCCGGGCCTTTGATCCGCTCACTTAAAACGTATAAACCCGACGACACGGGCGGATCCGAACAGCGCCCTGTATTCAACTGCTTAGGGCTTAGAAATGATGTCCGAGCTGCGCAAGCCGGCAGCTTGAAAGCAAACCGGAAGAATTGAATAACTGACATACCATTCTGCTCGGTCTCCCCAGCAAAGCCTGTGGCAGTGGCGGTTCTAGAGTTTTCACAGCCATGGCGTTAAGGGCGGCCGCCCGGTGCCGCCGGAGGAGCCAATGCATACAGGACAAGTTGCTCTCAGGAGGCGTTTTGTTCGTTGTGGATGGGGCGTCGTACGACAAGGCCGGCTTCAAGCATATGGCGGGCCGCCCATGGCAAAAACTCGTTGAGCGGGCCCAGTTTCCAAGTGGGCCCAGCTTCTACGACGCAAGTTTTTGACGCCGAAGCGTGCTTGACCCACGCTGCATAGGCGCCCTTGAAACCCAACGAAAATATTGGGGATGGATTGTGTTCTATAGGCCGCGGACCCTCGGGGGTTCATTTTGACCATTATTGAGAGGGTGTTATGAACATCCCATGGTTTTATAGAGAGGCATCATACAAACCACGAGTTTTGGAATATAAACCCTGGTGGATATCGATGATTGCTCTTATAGTTGGGGAATGTCACCCTGGGCACCTGGAATTTTAAGGGACCACTTTAAAGCACCCACGATAGAATTAAGGCAACTGGTAAATGTTATCAACTCTATCCACCTGACATGGTTATTGGAGTGGGTGATTCTATATTGATATCAGAATCAGTGGGGCGAGCATGCTTTTATCGGGTCCAGATGGCAACCATGAGGGGTGTGATTCAAAATAATATGCTGAAATTGTTTGTTCTTTGTTTGGGTGTCTAGATTTTATAGTGAAAACCCCAGGGGGCGCAATTCTAATTTAGCCCCCGAGGGTACGGGAATTCCCCTATAGGAATCTAAAAGATTCAGGTGGGGTAGCCCAGACAGTCTTGACACGCAAATCCAGACAGCCGCAATGTTCATCCCCGAACCCCAGGTTGCCGATATCGCAAATAAATTTTTACCTGCTTCCCAACGCCAGTGTTCGAAGCGCACTGCGTGCGCAAGAGATGACATAAATTTGGAAAAATCCGTTGCAAGAGAAAACCCCACTCGGAGCAGACGGATTTCCAGTCGCGCAATCAGTTTTCTGACTCGCAACCAGATAAAAGATTAGTATAATCTATAGCCCCTTGAAACTCACGCAGGGGAAATGCCGTGTGAGAATCTGACTGTACCGCACCGAACTGGGAGAGCGCAGCTCACTCAGTTCACAGCTCAATGCTTTACCCAAATTTCGAAGCTGAAAAACCATCAGCCAGCAAACCTTCCCATCCTACCACAACCCTTTCCAGGGAGTCCAGACACATACAACTACGTAGATACAAAACCATTCACAGCAGTTGGCAATTTAATTGAAATTCATATAGGAAACATCAGGAAACCTTCCATAAAATTATCCACTTCTTTGACTGTAGTTGTCCAATCCCTGCAGTTGCAGTCTGAACCTTGCCCGGCCGTAGTCATTTGACTCAATCCAAATTCATACTCCGCAAACGCCCGTCACCATCACCACGTCCAAAAGAATTAGGGAACCCTGGGCAGTTTGACATGATGAATCTCTTGCCAAGGCACCAAGCAGGCACGTCAGCCAGCAACCTCCCCCACTACATTTGCAGGGCAGCGGCCCAGCGGCCCACTACATTTAGTTTTCACGTCATCGCCCACGTCGCTCGTCCAGCGGTTTGGCCCAAAACCAAACCCTGGTCGAGAGCTTGGGCGTTGATGTTCTGTTAAGGGTTGAAGTTGACAACTCCAGGTTTTGCCCACCAAACATGTAATTAGGTCATGCGCTCCACAACCACTGCCTGAGCCTCAGCACCATCACTGCCACGTAAGGATCGTTTGGCCGGTATTGCCACCACGGAAGCTGCGAGAGGGGGCACAGTGGAGGCGCAAGAGGCTTTGAGTCTAGAGTCTAGGGGCCCCGACCGCTGTTTTGTGGAAGAGGCAGATGACGAGATGGAGACAAAGAAGCCGCCAGTGTCGCGGCAGGACCGAACCTCATGCCGGTATTGTTCGACCATATTTTCATCAGCAGTTAAGCGCAGCCGGAAGCCCTCTCAACATGTCTTCATTTTGTAGAACATAGTTCACGGAGAGCATGGGGCCTTTGCGAGCCAAGTGTCCTTTTGATGAGCATCAAACATGTTTGAAGTATTGGGTTTGCGCGTAAGGAATCTACATGTTCGTTGTTCAGGCCATCTGAACAAATCCACGCCCCGCATAGGAACAACATAACTTCGCAGTCAATGCACCTGCAAAACATGCTTGAATCGTCTTGAATCTTTTCGAAACACACAGACTTGGAAGGACCGCTTTCAACGTTGCAGAGACTTCACTCAGTGGATAGCCGCCTTTAACGTTTGTGGGAACTTCCATTTTCCAAGGGAAACGAGGGGAACTGGGGAGCCAATAGATATGGCAGCAACCGTCCTGCAATATCTCACAAGGCCGACCGCCAACATGACACATACCAGTAATACGCCTCCACAACTGCAGCATCATTGGCGTGATGTTGGTTCACCTCCCCATTTCATTTGCAACTACAAACTGCACCGAAAACCGAAGAGAAACTGGTGCGGAATGAGGTGACAAACAAACACCAGCATCAGACATGTGAAATGCAATTTGTTGGCGTTCACGCGGTCACAAAAGGCAGGGGACAGGCAAGGTTGGACCCTGGGCGTTGTTGGACCCCAAGACCCTTGGCTTGTGATTCTGTGTTGCCTCGACAGATGATTCTGCAGGGGCCTCAGCTTTACCATTCAAACGCACGAAACAGCTTCGCATGTTTGCCACACTCCGCTCCAGTTCGGCTCAATGTGAGCAGTCTGAGGAGTTGAAGAAAAAATTGAAAGCCAAGATTGCAGGCCATGCGCTGGACCGAACACAAGGATTAGAAAAAGGAGTCCAGGATAGCAATGGATTGATTCTTGGCTTTGAAAAGTATCTAAACCTGTTGCTGCTGGTCATGATGGCAGTTCACTTTATATATAAGGAAGAAGCAGAAGCGACCTCCAGGAAATCGCCGGAAGATGGATGCACCATGGCCCAATTTCTGTTCATCCTGTGGTAGCGTTGCGGAGATTGAATTGTTTCATCTTGCGTCTACTGTAGGTGACGTAGGCTTATTTGGCCGCTTCTTTGCATGGAGCTCGGGCAGTGATGTAAATGCTTGCTTTCAACCGTTGGCCCCTTCACCAGGAAAATGTCGCTCATCTTTCAATAAGACGCCAACCCGCAGAAGGCGCTGTGTGCGGAGTGGCGCTGTGACATAGCAGTTTGTTTCACAAGATGGGCATGCCACGCCTAATTTTCGCAGTGCAAAAGGGCGAGCGACTGAAGGTGGACCTATGTTTTGAGCTGTAACCAATGATTATTATAGGTGTGTTTCAAGATGAGGGCCCCAGTCCGAAAACCATTTGGCCAAAGGCGACCCCACGCCAGGCATCCCTACTTTGCTGCATGCCCCATAAGTGTTCTCGTGCGTACCGCAGCCCCTGTGGTTCAATCGAAGATGCAATTTTCAAGAAATGGGCTGCTGCAACTCAGCTCTTCAGAGCATCCGTTTTGTGTAGATTAATTCTTGCGCAACTAGACTGAGGCCCATAGTGCATTCGGCAGCTCTTCCTGTGGCAAGTTGCTGGGATGACGACAAATTGAAATGGCTTTCCACCATGCAGACCACTCTGACCTCGATCTATTCCATGAACAGGACTGAAGGGCGTGCCGGGTACTGGGTACTGTAACTAGCTCACATGTTTGTTTGTTGTGGCAGTGGCACCCAGCTGACCTTTACAATTGCACTTGAAGTTAGGAGCGGTCTTTTCCTGTATGCATTCACTCAATCACATGTCACATGCTAATGTTGCTGGATCAGACGTGTAGTTTAGCAGCAAGCCTGGTGTTGACACACACACACACAGATATATATATATATACACACCGCAAAATATGCACCAAGGTGCAGGATTGTGTTCCACATCCTTCATGACCCAAATTTGTTTGATTTCTGGAGCAGGAGGCAGAGGGGTCTGATGCTTTGAATGACGACACTTTTGGGGATGCTACTTGGCTGGGAAAGTGCACCGGCCATCACAGGTGTTTCGTTTTGAATTCGAGGCCAGTCCTATTGGAGATGACTGGCAGCCATCTGCAGCCCAGGAGGAGCGGTTTGTAGGATTGATTTGAGTCTTGACTATAGACATCTGTAGCCAAGCCACCTGAGTTACCCCAAATGATCCGAGAACACTGACAAGTTGGTTCTGATTCTTGTGAGCTCACTAGACCCTCTTTGCATCAAGGTGTGGGCTCGACCAAGTCATTGATGTAACAGCTTTCGCATGTTTTGCGCAGGGAGGTTCAGATTTTCCTTGGCCATTTAGGCCTTCCACCGGGAGCTTGAGCAGGCAAGAAATAGCCCCAGTTTGGCCAGAGAAGGTTGGACGCCCAGTTGAACAGCGTAGGGGGTGCCTTTTGTTCTTGAGCGTTGATGTGTTGTCTTTCTTCTTTCAACTTTGCCTAGTGGTTTTTGTTTGCGGCATATTCCTATCTGAGTCATGGGCCGAAACCTGGCCAGGTGCTATAGCGCCCCCGCCGGGCTTGGCGCACAAGCCGCGTGCCAATCAGGAGAGTGCAGATGACAAAGTACGAAGATCAGCTCAGCCCTAATTTGAACTGTTGTCAAGATCTGAATGGGAGAGGGATAGAGAAGTTTCCACACTGCCAGCAGTTAGTTTTCTGATGTGTTCGCCTGTTTTTCTTAAAGCGTTGTGATGTTGCAGAGTGGTTTTGGTGATCCTTTGCTTCCTTTGAGGAGCCAGCTCCATGTGGATATCCAGGTTCAAGAGGAGAGGCTTTTGAAGCACTTCGGTCCCTTGGGCTGGAGAATCCACCTTCACTTTTGGCATGCCTGGCTCACTTGGCTTCTTTGCTTCTTGAGAGGTAGCAGGAACCAACCCGTGCCAAAAAGGAGTCGTTTTCTGGATTGTTTTGTGCACACCAGCCACGCCCACACGCCCACAGTGGGGAACAGATCGACCGTCAGCCTAGAGAGAGAGAGGGAGCAGAGAGGGAGGGAGCAGAGAGGGAGGGAGGGAGGGAGGGAGAGAGAGAGAGAGAGATGGCTTCACACCCCACTCTACGCTGTTTCAAAAAGTCTGTTGCCAGGGCCGACCACCTCCTGCTGGTCTCTTTGAAGGATTATCTTCTATCCCAGACGCCAGATCCGCCAGGCCGCCATTCCACGGAGCCTTCCCACCCCCTTTGCCATGGCCGGCGCTCCGCCCAGATCTCCGGGCTCCATGTCCCATCCCATTCCCCTGTGCGTTAGGCGCGTCGCTTGGCGCATGCGGCTTGCCACCCCCAGGGCCTCCCTGGCCACGGCCTCCCTTGGGAGCACCGGCGCACGCACCGGTGGGCCCAGAGCGGCGTCCCAGGGGCCGAGGGCCGGTGATGGAGGCACCAAGGCCGAGGCAGACAGTCATGTCAGTGACGCAGCTGGAGGCACAGATGATGGCGGAGCAGGCTCCCTTGCCGGTTTCGCAGCAACTCATCCCACCCGGCCCACCACGGCAGAAACTCACGTTGAGCCCTCAGATTCCAAGACCCCAGCGACCCACACCCCCAATGATCAGTCCAACCGGTCCCATGCCTCAGGGCATTACTGGACCTCCACCCCCGCCACCTCCGCCAGTAACGTCAGTGCCTTTGGATGAGGAGGTCGAGAAGCCGCCAGAGGTGCCTTTTTGGATAGCTCCTTTCACCGAAAAGCACCGTGAGGCTGCCCTGACCGATCCTTCGAACCCCGTCTTGGCGCCTTTCCGGAAAGAGTACCAGCGCCAGCATGTTGGTCTCATGACCTCCAGTGACAAAGAGTTGATCGTCCGGATCCAGCTGAGCCAATTGGCCTCGATCGGGGAGATGGAGAAGGAGATCGAGAAGATCGAGAAGTCGCCAACGGAGACGGCCGAAGTGCCCCGGACGGCCGAGCCGGAGGTCACGGAGGAGGAAGGGTCCCAAGGCCACCAGGCGGAGCAGGTGGAGCAGGAGCCCGAGGCGAACGAGCCACATGAGGCGGATGGCTTGCCGGAAGTGGCTGACCGGGCCTCAGAGGCATACATCCAGCGGCAGATTCTAAGGGAGAATCTGAAGATCCTTCATGTGAGAGTGTTTGCAGATGTTGGTAAGTATACTTGGGTGCATCCTCCTAGATCATCTAGTCAGCACAACTATAACCACTACCATAACCTATAACTTTAGATGTATGCAGCACGCACCTTGGGCAAAGAAATGCCAACTCCAATTCTTGCTTGGGCCTTCTACAGTCTGTAGTCCCTATTGCGAAGGAGCACTCCTTGACATCATGGGAACCATCCAGGTTACAGTGTCTTGCTCCGAGGCCGATGTCAAGGAGGGTGCGGAGTCCGAGCTAAGGTGCGGTCAGTTGTTTTGAGATGTTTTGAGTTTTGAGGATGTTTGGTGTCAAGATCATCCCATCCAAAAGTGCACACGTTCCAAAGTCTTGGAGACAAATGCGCAGAGAAAAATGAGCGCTGGTGATACATCACCCTGGGCTTTCGTGATCAGATCGGCTAAGAAGAGCAGCACAGTGAGCAACACCTCTCCGTTGATCGCAGTTTCTTTCACCGAACGGTTGGCACCGTCAGAGTTTTGCTCTTTCGTCGCATCTTCATTCCGACTGGTATCGAATCGGCGAACTGGAGGCCACACGACGGCCAACCGGAGCTTCTCTGATTCTCGCCACCAGCGTGACGCGGCGAGAGGGATTTCTGATCTGACCCACGTAGAGATGGCGTAGGACGAAAAGGAATAGATGAGCCTCACGTGCATGTGCTGCATGCTCATGCTTTTCATCAGAATCGTGTGAGAGGAACATGGAACTCTTTTGTTTGACGGTGTGTACTATGTGTACCGTTTGCTTTTTGCAAGAACCTGAGCTGCTGGCTTTGGAATCTGGGCCACTTGCACACTCACTCTCTCACTCTCTCTCTCTCTCTCTCCCTGTGTATATATATATATAGACATCTATATAATGCCTCATATTCCTTCATGGCCTGGTCTCCCGCAGCCTTTAGCTTTGCAGGGTCCAGTTTCTCACGACTTCTTGCCATGGCCTGGTTGATTCAAAGAGGAGAGGTCACAGTGCCCCAACTGGGCCCGGAATCACCGGCCACAGATGTTCAACAACTCAAGAATGGCATGAATGTCATCGCTGCGTTGCTTCGGAAGAGGAACCTCAAGGCTCGCGTGCCTCTCGTGGCCGAGACGAAATCGAAGCCAGCGAAGCGCACAGCAGAGAAGGAGAAGAAGGGCACCAAGCCCCTGCCTAAGGCCAAGCCCAGCCCGAAGCCGAAGCCCAAAGCAAGCCCCAAGCCAAAGTCCAGAGCGAGCCCCAAGCCGAAACCCAAAGCGCAAAGCAAGCCTGCTGCCCAGCCTCCCAAGCAGAAGGCTGAGAAGAAGCCACCTCCCAACACAAAGCAGGTGGGGCATGAAAAAGATTGAAAACACATGTGAAAAAGCATTGTCATTGACGTGTTTGATTGCAGTTGCCAGCAAGTTGGTTTCAATGCTTGAGTTGGCACGGGCAACCAGGCCAAGGCACCACGCGTGAACCTCCCGCCGACGGTTGGCAAAGGAGGAACGAAGGGCCACGGACGGGTCTTTGCGCAGCTCCAGCAGAATTTGCTGCTTGGCGGGATTGATGGACAACCTCATGCAGCATCATGCACGCACATATCAGGAGTCGAGCAATGTTGAAAATGATTCATTCACCGAATTCATGTGCTGGATTTCCTCCACCCACAGTTTGATTAGAGTTGAAGTTGGGAGCTTGGCACATGTTGAAACCAAGGAAGGGTATCACCAAGCCAGATTTGAGGCAAGTTTGTTGATGATCGCTTAGGTTGGAGGCCATCGCTATTGAGATGCAGGCCATCGCTATTAGGTTGGAGGCCATCGCTATTAGCTTGGAGGCGATATGAGGCCATCGCTAGTAGGTCGGAGGCCAACGCTGGCAGGTTGGAGGCTATCGCTGTGAGGTTGGAGGCCATCGCTAGTAGGTTGGAAGCCATGGCTATCGGCTATTAGGTTGGAGGCCAACGCTAGTACTCGTAGGTTGGATGCCATTGCTATTGGGTTGGGTCCATCGCTATTAGCTTGGAGGCCATCGCTAGTAGGTTGGAGGCCATCACTAGTAGGTTGAGGACATCGCTAGTAGGTTGGAGGCCACCATGATTAGAAACAAAGAACAACACACAGGAAGAAAGGCCTATATAATAATAAAAGTTTGCTCCAGTCGCGTTTTTCCGGTTCCGTGTGCTCTCCAGATCGGTGTTTGACACGCAGCCAAGCAGGCGTTTGGCACGGAAAGCAGGGGTGAAAAGGATGTCTGCGAACATTGTGGAGGAGATGAGGGAGGCGGAGAAGGGTTCAGGTAATTCGTCACAGCATCTGCACAAGGATGAGGCACATCGTTGAATTACATCACTAATTCCTCATGAATTCACCCAAGAACATTCTTGCGCTATCTATGTTGCCGATGTGCATGGCTTGACTGCACGTTTTGGAAGGTCCTGTCGGTGTTCCTCCAGAAACTCCTGAGCGACGTTGCTGTGTATGCCGAGCACGCACGGCGGAAGACAGCCTTTTGGTGAAGATCTATGCAAATCTAGTCATGAATCTTCATGAGAAACAATAAGCTGCTAGGAACAAGTGCATCGCTTCTAGTAACAAGTGCCTTACTAGTAGTAACAAGAAGCTATTAGAAATTTGAAACAATAATTCAATTAGACATCAATATAATTAATTAGAATTTAAGTGGACCGTGGTCCCTGGCTCTTGTGAGGTGACACCTTTCGATGTGGTCTTGAGCCTTCGCCGGCGAACAGGGGTCCGGCTATGGGGGTTCTAAGTTGGATTCCATGGGGCAGGCGGCATCGAACGATGCCCAGATCCTCGAAGCATTCTGGCCTGAGAATTCAGTGCAATTTCTGAGCTCTTGGACATTCAGTGAACAGAAGTGCTAGCTGCTACCTCTTGAGGTTGTTGGAAAACGCAGTCATTTCGAATTGTCCGACTTCCACAAAGCCAAGTCTGTTTGTTGCTCACTGGATGGTTTGAGACCCTTTGCATCTTAATCTTAGCTTCTTGCCCTTCCCAGCTACACCGGCCAACTTGCCGGGAACATCTTTTTGGAGGGGCCGTTCCTGCGAGTCTGCAGCATGTGCAGCTCTAGGCAGCTCTGCAGGATTTACGCAGTAAGAAACGTCGTGCCTGGCTGATCCTGATTGCCAGAACAATGCAAAGAGAGCACGCACGTCATCCCACGCCAAAACTTGAAGTGGCCGCAGTAGTTTGCTCCAAGTCGTTTTACAGATACGTCAAGGACAACCCAACAGCATGCCCACTAGTTCTCCCACATATTGGTTCGGAATGGTTTTCTTCAACGTTTCAGGTCTTTCATGAATCCCCTTTACTGTAGGACATGCAAAATAGACAGTGAACATCAGTCCACAGCGAAAGAAGCCTTGCTGATCCAAGTCCGGGGCTGTGCCAAGTCTTTGGAACCGCATGTGGCATGGCCTCGTTGAAGCACCGGGTCAAAAAGAGCTCGAGAAGTTCAGTGGGCAGGAAGTCTCCTCACGTGGTCCTATCCTCGGGATTCTTTTCGCACAAGTTCGTTTTGAACGGAGTGCCTTTCTCTAGGGGTTGTCGCAAGATTTGGCATGTCTAAGGGAATGCACGCCCTCTCTTCGAAGATGAGTTGGAACGGCAACTTGGATGACTTGGACGAACGCCAAGTCGAATTGGGTGATGAAACAGGATGGATCTATGTAGGTGAGTGTGGCCAAAGTGGGGGAAGTGCTCAGCTAGCAACCCACCCAACAAACATGCGTTGGATCGCACGTAGTACATCGTAGTACTGTAGGTCCAGGTGTTTGTGCAAGTCTCTCACCCTGGAAGTTTGACTTTGGCAGGTTGGTTGTTGCATTTTGTGCCCTTGCGCAGTGGCACGAATACGCATGGCCTACATTGTAGCTGCTTGTGAGGGCTTTGCTGTGCACGATTGGCACATAGATTGCAAGCATCATGACTAGTCAACTGAAGATTCGTCACCCCGCCTAAAACTGAGGCTCATTCCGGTGGAGGTCCGCCGCAGCCGACCAGATGCAGGGGTGGGGAAACCTCCTCAAGATCGGGTGGCCGCTCGGCGGTTTGGCGGGTTCTCCGGGTGATGGTTTTGAACCCTTTTTTGTGGGGGACAGTTCGCTAAGTTCGCTCCATATCAGTTCACCAAATGTCTGCCCCACCTAGGCAGGGTCGTTTTTGCTTTTGGGGCATGGTGATGGTGGTTTAGACTTGAGGCTGAAATGCTGAGTCAGCTGCCATGAGTTGAGACATTGGGATGTTGAGACATGTTGAGACAGGTGCACATCATCCACACAAGCTTAGGTGCGACAAGTTCTGCAGAAGGACCATTGGAAAGGTTTTGGTGAGAGATCATTCTTGCATCTCTCTGGGTTGGTGGTGAGGAGGACCTTGTGCAAAGCTCTACACTAAGACCCTCATGTTGATTCTTCAGCATATTGCTGTTGCTGCCAAAGCCTTGAGACTTGGACCTGTTCTATTTTCCTGGGCTTTGCGGGGGCTGGTGGCACCTCTTCTTGCACTTCTTGGACATCCTTGCACATGATCAGCATGAGAAGATCTGAACAGTTGACCAGGACCCAACAGGCGAGTTGGTGAAGATATCTCTTGGGGACGCTTCGCCTTGACCTTGGCCCAAGTATGAAGGCTTGAGAGGCTCGAGTCATTCGAAGCTAGCTTGAACTCTTCAACCCTGAAGGACTAAGACAGACTATATAAGTGCATAGGTTACCGCGGAATATTGCAGAAATGCTACTGCAGTGTGGCAGCATTGGCACACACAGAAAATCCATGTTATGGAAGCCTCCAATCTTCCAGCCACACTTTGGACTTGGTCAGGTTGCCAGATCATAGGTGGATCATAGGTCCTCCAAGGTCTTCAGCTTTCCATCTTGTACATCTCTGAGGCTTGTGAAGCAAATCCTGGTGAATCCATTGTCGGACGCTCCCTGCGTACGCCACGGCGCCCAGATCCGCGCCCGGATCACGGCCGCCTGCCGAGATCAGGGGAAGTCCTTAGATGAGCGCTTGCTGCATGGACCCCAAGTGCACCTGGGCTGGGTTTGGTCGGAGGCGATGTAGATGACATGGGTGATAAAGGAAAACACGCTGGCCTTGCTCCCATCACTTTCTTCAAACGAATCTGCGTGTTGAATGAACAGACTCAGCATGACTCAGCCAATCAACACAACACACCTCTCGGCCGCCTATCGGATTGCTACAGCTGTGCAACGCTTCATGTGTTGTAGCCAGGCACTCTTGGGTGGCAGGATCCGGAGCAAGATGCCAACTCATTGAGTTGATGGTGACGTCCATGCAGCCACCCGACTCATAGTCCAAGAAATCAGAACGACCTGCAGCCCGAAGCGTCCTGACTCACTGGTTGAATATCGGGAGCTGAGCCTGCTAATGATTGGCCTTGGTGAGGTTGGGGGAGACATGTGTCACTTGCAGCCGCGACAGCAGTCTATATGCCGACAGCGGCTTGCGTGTGGTCTCGGACAAGTACCAGGAGGCGTGTTCGTGAACATTGTTTGCCTGTCCTTTTTTCTCGCCATGTGTGGGATTCCCTAGCAGCACAAGTATCAATCAACGGTGCTGTGTTTATGTGTGAGATCCAGAGAAGAATTCTTTGTTTTGAAGTTGCAGATTGGACTAGAGTTGGAAGAGCTGAAAGCAAGTTCTGATAGATTTGTCAATGCTCCCAGCGCCTATCTAGGTGGAATATGCAATCAGTATGGAAGACGTTGGTCAGCCACTACCCCGTGAAGCCTCGGGTTTGATCACATGGGCCTTGGAAGAGACGCGTGGTTTGCAGCAGTTCTTTTCGACCGTCGGTTGGATGTCGCTTCGATGCGATGTGTGCTTTCGGCCAGTATCCTAGTGGCTTCTTGCTCCTATAGTAGTAAGGCCAGGAGCCAGTAGCGATGCCCTTTGTTCCTAGTAGTGCCTCTTTCGGGCTGAAGCGACTGGGTTTGGAGTTTGGAGTTTGGCGTCGCCAGCCCCTTTGCCGAGGAAGTCCGTCGCGGCACACGTTCTGAAAGAGGGCTTGGTGCATTTAGCGCTTCAGAAGTCGCCTGGAACTGGAACTCGGGAGGCGGAAGGAGGAGACAGGCTTCCGGAGGTGGGAAGACAGCAAAGGTTTACCATCTCGAAGATGATTGATGACCCCATCAGGGTGCATTGATGCGTATTGTGTTCCACCATGTTCCACCAATAATGCCCCATGATTGCCTAAGCCGGCCAATAATCAAGAATCATTCTGATGTCCCCGAAGCCCACCTTGGGTCATTTAGCTTTAAGGTTAGGGGGTTGCTCTACCATGGAAATGATATCGCTTCTGTGTGAGAATTGTTTGAACCTTGTGTCAGTGCGTTAGCTCTCCACCTTACTACTGACACGCTTCCACCCCTCCTCCTGACACACTCCCAGCCCACTACTGACACACTTCCACCCTACTACTGACACGCTTCCAACCCTTTGACTGACACACTCCCAGCCCACTACTGACACACTTTCACCCTGGATTCGTCTTGAGCTTCTCAGCTGCTGCTGCTGCTGCTGCTTTGCTGCTGCTTTGCTGCTGCTTTGCTGCTGCTGCTGCTGCTGTTGCTGCTGCTGTTGCTGCTGCTGCTGCTGCTGCTCTTCGAATCCCACGGATCTCTCTCTCTCTCTCTCTGTCTCTTTGCCTCTCTCTCTCTCTCTCTCTCCCTCTCTTCTCTCTTCTCTCTCACCTACCTTTCGTCCACCCTCTCCCACTCAAGTACCACATGGGCGGTCGTCCTGAGCTGTGATTGAAGTCAGATGACTTGTGCATGGTGTGAGCAGGTTCAAACATGGAAAGTCCAGATGACAAACGATTTTTTTGAGATCCAGATATTTTGTTGAAGCCCAACATCAAAAGTCTCTGATGCAAAACCGTTCTTGGCAATTTTTGATTTATAAGACACAGCATCTAAACGGCAGAGATGTTTCTTGAATCCGTTAGTCACTAGTACTAGCACATGTCGCCACGACTGCTATGGACTATTTGGATGTATTTGATGATGAGCCTGGCAGCTTCCTTGCAGTGTCAAGCAGTGCAACATCATCCTTGCAGTGTCAAGCAGTTGCTTCAGTTGCTGCATCAAGAGAGGCGCTCAATTCAAAGGATTCTGAGGCTGTCACGGTTCATGGACCTAAGGGCAGATTTGAGCGGCCCAAACCCTTGGCAGGAGTGAAGGTAAATTCAAGAGGCAGTGCAGTTGAAAGGCGTGCATGGAACATGGCCATGCAAATCCACAGAAGCAAGATAAAGCAAGCCAAAACCGAGCAAGATGTGATAGACCTGCTCACTTCCTTGCAGAAGCGTGCTCGTTCAGATTCTGGCATCAAGATGGTCCGTGGTCAAAGAGGCGGATTATTCACCAAAGGTGGCCTCATTCGACACAGTGTGTGCCGCATGAAGAGCAAAGGAAATCGATTTACATCACGCTGGTCAATGTCTGACTTTCTGATTGCCGCATTTGGAGCAGATAGGAAGCGAGGTAAACGCATCAAGGCTCGTGCATCTGCAGCACTTTCGTTGGGCGCAGCGCCAAGTACTCTTAGCTACATGAGATCAGTGGTAGCCGGGTCAGTTTTGGCCCGGCAAGCAAGCGTCTTAGCCAGAATATACCTCCTGACCAAGATGCAAAAGCCCTTGGTGACATGTCTTCGAGAGGGATTTGATGAAACTTCTCAGATCATCACTGTCAAAGGAGAAGTGGGGTCTTGGCAAGTTTGTGTGGTGAGGCACTCTCTTTTTGTGGCTTGGCCCCCTTCCTGCCCTGGAGAAGCACCCCGATTGCTGAAGATGCAAATTGCACCTTGGCTGCCTTCTATACAAACTATGATATAGTCGTCACAAAACATATAAAGCCGCTATTCTCAACGACATATGGTTTCTAGAGTAAGGTTTTTGTTCTCAGCATGGCATAAATAAGGCAAGTTTTTGTTCAAGGATTTAACACTCCAAGAAGCAACCGCTGGAGTCAGTTGCCCTGAATCTACTTGTTTGCTCAGGCATGCCCACCAGTGTTGGTGTTGACAGCGAGCGCGGAGAATATATTCTTTGCATTGGAGCGCCACCCCATGTTCCATACCATAAGGAGCAGGGCCCATTACCGTCAACTGATGGATTTGCTGTAGCTCTAGCTCTGATCCGTTTTTTCTGTGAACACTTGTTACTCAAAACGTTCTTTCTGACTCGAACCAAGCGAAGGAGTATGGAAAATCTCATATTGAAGGGCTCGCATGAGCAGGTGCGCATACAAGAAACCGACAGTGCATCTGCAAACGTGCGTTTATTCAACTACAGACTTCAGCGCCATCAACATGAGACCCTCCTGCAAGAGATGGTATGTTGCCACGCACACCAGGCAAACTTGGTGGAAACATCCTGCGTTGGTGCGAGTGGACCAAAGCTTATTTCATCATTCTTTTCATTCTGTCATTTCCTCCAGGCAGGAACGCACTGGTCGAAGTTGAAGGAAGCTGTGCGCCAGTATGTTGTTGAAACAGCTGAGATCTCTGTGGCTACAAGCGCTGGAGCAGAGTTGCCGCTGTACACACAGGAACTTGCACAGATGCAAGCGCTAGTGCGCAAAGCGCTCACCCAATCAAAAACAAAGCATGCCGAGATGGCAGACCTGCAGGAGAAAGATGTTGCACACTGTCAATTTGACAAACACGTTGCTGAGTTTTTGCGTATGTGGAACGGCGACCTTACAGGAAAGAAGTGTGAGCACCGTTGCTTCCGGACTGGCCCCCCAAGCAACTGGTGTTGCCAAGACGACGAGGAATCCAAATCCAAGCTTGCGAGTTCGCTCATTGCATTTGCTCTTCATAGTGTGCCTGAAACTCCGGCCCCTGCCAAGTGGACAAAACTTTGGAGCTGCTTGAGTTTTCTCATCAATGGATTCCTTTGTAGCTCTTGGCTTGCTTCCGTGGTGCCGCGGTGGCTTCCAGCTCTGAAAATTCTACAGAAAAAGCCTAAGCAGAGTGGGGAACCTGAGGATGATATCGACCCAGCATTGGCTGCAACACAGGAGTACGCAAAGATTGCTGGAAAACGTGCAAAAAAGACTGAACAGTTCGTTTCAGAGTTAGCAACAGGGGATCTTGGTCTGAGGCTACTAATCCTCCTCCTTGTGGATGAACCTTTGAGGTTTTTGACAATGGAGTTTCTGCGGTTCTCCGATGCTGCAAACACGGAACCTGCATTATTCTGCCTTTGCAATGAGCACTCCTCAGCATTGGTCGCGGCTTGCCAGTATTTGTCATCCCTTCTCCTGACTGATGCCTCCAGATTGGAGCTTTTGTATCGAAAGTTTGGGTACTCAAACATCATGGACTGGGAAGCTTCAGAGGTTAAGCAGGTACGCCACCTGAGGCCGGGATTGTATCTAAAGAGTTACCAAAGTATGAAGTTGACTACTTCACAATACCTGTGGTATCCCGTCCACACACAGGCATTCCAGCGCAGTTTTTCGGTGTGCAGTCGTTCATGTATCTGTATCTGGCATATCCAGTGTTTTGTGCATGGAACTTATTCCAAAGTGATGCTAGTGAGCTGTTGTTGTTGTTGCTGTTGTACAATAGATATTCAATTCAATACAATATAAAACAAAATCACAAATAAACCACACCAGGAGGCTGGTGATGCTGGCTATTTCCTGGATTCAGAGACGCCACATTGATGCTTTGTTTCAGATGCCCTTCAAACTTTGCATCCTAGCAGACCCTGCAGCGACGCCTGAGCAAAAACAGGCAACAGCTCTGGCTTGGGACCAGCTGAGTGGTTGCTGTGTCCGCCCTGGCTTTGCACGCAAGCTCAAAGCACGCAACATCTCGGGTGAAGAGCTTTTGCGTTCAGATAAGTTTCATGGCTGAGCTGCTTTACGTTTTCTCTCAACTTTACATTTGCAATTGCACTGTGCATTTCACATGTGTTGGCATTGAGAATAACATAGAATAACTAGTTGAGACTGCATGGAGGGCTAGAGTCTGGAGCCTGGTAGTGTAGGCATAGGGTATAAGTCTAAGTCAAAGTATAAGTCTAAGTTGATACGCTATGCCGCTATATGCAATTGCTCTATTGCTGAATGTTTGCCAAACCAAGGTGTTTCTATTGTAGCAGTATAAAATAACTAAAAACATATCCATATCCTGTTGAACGAGATGCCTGAACTTTGGACTAAAACACAAAACCTGCGAAACCTATACCTATACTATACGTTACTACACCTGAACCCACAACTTGGAATTCCAGGTGGGGGGGCAGTACTGGTTGCATTTGCTTCAGCGACCACCGGAACCATTGCTGACGCTGAAAGAAAGCACGGCCACCACAAAGCCCTCGCAAGTGGGAGTAGCAGAATGAGCTTTGTGAGTCTCATGGTGTCTTCAATCAACGACGAAGCCAGACAAACTCATTTGCGTTTGCAAACCTTTGCGCAGCGGCTATGTCAGGGATTGAAGCGCAAAACAATTGCGCAGGTTACTGGCAAAGCGAAGAAAGTTGCCCGTCTTGAGATTTTGGATACCAAAGTCGCCGCTGCTCGCAATGCCAGTGCTATCAGCCTGTACCGCAAACATGTGATGGAAGCTTCCAAAGAAGCATCGGCTGGGTCTGCTCCTTCTCGCAACTGGTTCAGTGTAGCCGGTTGGAAGGACTTGAAGGAGAGTTTTTATGCCTTGCCACAGAATGAGAGAATGCACTGGCAACAGCTGGCCAAGTGCGTGAACTTCAAGCGTGGCAAAACAATCGACATCAGCTCACGGAAACGCATGGTGCTGGCCAAACCCTCAGATATTGGAGATGCGCAAGAGCCTCAGCCTCCAAGCTATCCCGAAGACTCTGTTCAGAAGTTGCTTCGAACTGATGATAAACTGGGCATGAACTTGCAGAATGTTGGCATAAGCTCCGCTGGTCCTTCAGCAACTCAGCTTTGGTGCTTACTGAAGAATGATGGTCCACTCAGGAACAATGGTTATAGTATATAGTATAAGTATAGTATATATAAATTTAAATATAATACAATTAATAATAA